AAAAAAAAAAAAGAAAAAGAAAAAGGCGTTATACTATACACAGTCCTTTATGGTGATCTATTTATAAACTTTATGAATTTTTTTTGTTTGAGACTGAGTTTCGCTCGTTGCCCAGGCTGGAGTGCAATGGTACGATCTCGCTTCGCCACAACCTCCCCCTCCTGGGTTCAAGTGAATCACCCTCCCGAGTAGCTGTGATTACAGGTGTGCATCACCATGCCCAGCTAATTTTTCATATTTTTAGTAGAGACAGGGTTTCTTCATGATGGTCAGACTGGTCTTGAACTCCACACCTCAGGTGATCCACCCGCCTCAGCCTCCCAAAGTGCTGGGATTATAGGCGTGAGCCACCGCCCCCTGCTTTAAACATTTTATATACAAATTTTTCAATGTTTATTTCTAACAAGTGATGTTCAAGGCCAGGCATGGTGGCTCACTCCTGTAATCCCAGCACTTTGGGAAGCTGAGGCAGGGTGGGTCGCTTGAACCCAGGAGTTCGTGACCAGCCTGGGCAACATAGCAAGACTCCATCTCTACAAAAAATACAAAAACACTAGCCGAGCATAGTGGTATGTGCCTGTAGTCTCAGCTCTTTGGGAGGCTGAGGTGGGAGGATCACTTGAGCTGGGGAGGTTGAGGCTGTAGTGAGCGACATAGCGAGACTCTGTCTCAAATAACCAACCATAATGCTATGATAATACACAAACCAAATTTACCAAGTATCAAGGAATGTCCAGTGTTGAGATTTCTGCTTGTCTCATTTAAAGTTGTGTGTTTTGTTCCAATTTTGTAATCCAGATCCAAAGTCCATACTACCTGATGTGTCCTTTGAGCCTCTTAAGTCTAGAGCAGCGACCGGTTCTCAGCATTGAGTGGTTGGGGATCCTCAGGAAGCCCCATGAAAGCGATGCTGGGCGTGCAAGCAGGCTGGGCGTTTCTCCCATGTGCCTCGGGGACGCCGTTTTGGAACTGCGCCCTCGGGGTCCCCTGCACGCCAGGCCTCTCGTTTCCCTGTGGTTTATCTGCTGAAGAGGGCAGGCTGTGAGTCCCATGGGTCTCTACAGTCTCAGCTTTGCTCATTGCACCCCTCTGGGGGCTTTGAACTCATGCCTCTGTTGGGCGTCCATCAGCCAATCCGATGCAGGCAGAAGCCAGCTGACTGTGCCACCTGGCTGCAGCCCACCATAGCTCCCAGCTGTCTGCTCCAGGCGCTTCTCCCTGATCTCAGCCACTCCAAGGGCACCCACAGGCACCCCTCCCTTTCTGTCAGGGCTCCCCACTCGCAGGGCTGACCTGGGTGTCCCCCTTCCCTCAGTGTTCCCACAGCCCCGTGTGCCAACCTGTCACATACATCCTGTGGTTTTACGGACAGGTGCGGGCTCCACTCCCTCCTCCAGCACCCTGTCTCAGAGTGCTGAGGTGACGATGGTGACGGTGTGGTCTGTCCTCTGCCTGACAGTACATTAGGCGCCACAGACCTGCCCCGCTGACCATGGAGGACGCGCTGGAGGAGGTGAACAAGGAGCTGTGAGCACCAGCAGGTGGAGCTTGATGTGACATCTAACAAAAGGTACTCCGTCCTGTGTACTCAGTGTGCACACACACAAACACAGAGCTCATCAGTGTCCAAGTGTGACGTTCCGTGGTGGGGCAGGCAGTGCCGGGATGAGGGACACACACACAATCAGCATCCAGGTGTGACATTCCGTGGTGGGGCAGGCGGTGCCGGGAT